GATTCTTAAAAATAAGAATCTAAAAGATTCTTAAAAATATTTATTTCTTTAATCTTTAATATAATCCTAAGTGTCGGTCCACAATAAGTATTTAATCTTTAAGTTGTAAGAAATTGACCAATCATAGTCGATTATTCTTTTCATATTCGATTATAATTGGTCAATTTCTTACTTCTTAAAGCTTAAATCACCTATTGTGGACCGATACTAATTCGTTCCGGATTTATTTGTACGCAAGAATGTGACAGGAATTGGAACATGTTGAAACGGTTGAGACATCTTCCGTTTCAAGTAGTTATACAGGGAATCGATTGTATATTTTAAAATACGATAAAAATTACAAAAATCAGGAAATTCATTAGAATATCTGCAACTTCATATCGAAAGTGTTATGTATTTTATTTAAATTTAATGAAATATTTTTATTTAAATTTAATGAAATGTTTTTATTTAAACTTAATGAAATCTAATATGACAAAAACGTATCTAATATAAAAATTTGTAGAAATAAAAAATAGTTATATCATGCTTATGATAGGACACTATCTATCATACTATTTTTCTATACAGCCCTGCATTTCTAAATATTAATATAGAGGAATGGTCACGTGTCCGATACGCAAAGATTAAAAATAACTTGCTTTAATGACATAGTCGATATAAGTATTGTTTTATTCTTACTCCTTGAATGCCAAAAAATACTATGCAAATCTTTCAAATAGTTCATAGAGATTTTCACGGATAGTAAAATCAATATGAGCATTTCAAGAAAAGTGCGTGATCGCGCAGGCCAGATCATATATTTAGTTACATCCAATAAGTCCATCCAGAAGCACAACCACTTATTGTTAGTGAGCTTTTAATTCGTGTATTTTTTTAGATATAAAGAATATACCAATCGCAGCTCGCAATACAAGAGTTCACTAAATGAATGATTGTGTTTCTGGATACACCCAATGAAATTTTACACGACAGAAACTTATTACAAGAATTTATGGAAATTAAAATTATATAGAATATATTATGCTCATATAAGGCACTTATTATTTCTCTATTCGTTCTTGAATTTCTAAATATTAATATAATGCAATGAGATCGATACATAAAGATTAAACATATCGAAAGAGAACTTGTACTATGGTCACGAGGAGATCAAAGATACCAACATGGAAGACCTATACTGATTATACTGTAAAATTATATACCATTGTATAAGATTATACTACAAAAGTTTTATAATTATAAATTATAATTATTAATTATTATAATTATTAATTATTTTTAATCTAATCTTTTTCTCTATATATCATAAGCAACGCAAAAAATTCTAGTTATTCTTATTTTATTCTTAATGATAGAAATATTACTTGGTAAGTTCAACATTGATGTTTTAGTTAATTAAAGCAACTGAAATAATAAAATAGAGAAATAAAAATGGAGAATTTAGTCAATTATTAAAAGTTTAATTGCATTACAAAAATCATATGTGTAAATTGGTCTGTGTCCGAGTGTCAACTTTTCACTCAACAACTTCACAAATCAGTTCTTACTGTCTGTTCCAGATCTTTCTTTTTTACTCAATATGTTTATATTTATATGTATTTTACACAATATGTATTTTTAGAAGTGCGCATCGCGAGTTTTAAATAATCAAAATAATTTATTCGTTGACTATATCAAATATTTAATAATTCATTATTGATAGATAATTCCGTCAAAAGGAACATAATGATAAATATCATGTAACCAATAATCATGCTAAATACGATGAGAAAAAGAATGTGTATGTATATGTATATGTGTCTCTGCGCTGAATATGGTGAACATGTGATGTTTTTGAATTTAAAATAAACAAGAATCATATGCTTCCAATACGAGCGTTGCGACGATATAATCGCTACAAATTTAATCGCAGTTATTCGAAAATGTTGATTTGCGCGCACGTAAGATTCAAGAAAAATACGAACCGTACAAAAAAACATCGTGCTAATTGCCGCAAATTATGATTAAGCGCGCTTTTCCAATCCGATTGGTATCGGCTATTCGCAGTTGGAAACACGCGAGAGAATTTTAGATGCGCTGTAAATAAAGTGTTTTCTCAGTTAACCACAGTTATCGTCGTCGTCGTCATTCGGCATGTACAAAATTTTCATGAGTCTTTGAAGCGTGAGTATCAAAAACATCCGAATAAAGCGTCGCATGGTTCTCCATTAATTCCACATCAATTAATTTAAATTTATCATCATTGATTTAAATTGTTAACCGTTAACTTCGATATTGTACGTACGATTTTTCCTACGAATAAATACGTATGTTCACAAATGTAGTATTATTGACATCAAATGAAGCATCGCCATCGGTTATCGGTGGCTTTAATTACCGTTCGTCGGAAACAAGCGGATTGTTCGATATTGCGATGTTGCATTTTCAATTGAAACTTGCGCATATCCGCGCGCGCGCGCGCACGCTCGAATAAATTCTCGGATTATCAAGCAGTGTGGAACAATTATTGGAATTTTAATATACAGATTATCACATCTATTCGCGCGATCGAGCGATCGAGTGATTAGCGTCTTTGGATTCAATTGTCCTTAACGCTTATCATTTTTCTATTCATTTTTCACGTTTTCACATTTTTCGCGTTCCGGAATCTCGTTCGTGCGAAGATTATTAATTTTTCAACGCATATATTTATGTACATGTCAAAGTGTAAACGCGTTTTCAGAGTGCCTACTGTCTGGAGAAACTTGGAATTCTTAGAGAATTTGTTTATGAAAAATTGAGGAATTTTATTGAAACTCAGGGAATTTTTTTAAATTACTTTTTGTGATATTTTTTTTTTTATATTATAATTGGAAATTTATTATTAAGGATAACAATAGACAGATGGACTTTAAACATCAAAGCACATTGACTTTATGATTAATCCAATATTCGGTAAACAACGATTTCCTGTTAGGTATTTTGTTTAACAATTTTGTTTAACAAAGATGAATATCTATTTCAATAGTTTTATGAAAGTTGAATTTTGTATCGATTATATAATTTTTTGCTTATAGCTTTAGAAATAAAGCTTGAAAATTTTATGCAATAAAATAATTATTTTTGGAGTCCTTGTATATTTCTTTCAAAATTTTTCAAATTTAATTATAACGCAAATGAGTCTTGATGAGTCAAGATTTATGAATTTTTACGAATATGAAGAGTCGACATGAATAAAGAGATTTAAAAACTTAAAAAGACCGAGCGATAATTATATATTTATTTGTAAGATACATTTAGAAATACTTTTGTTTTACCTGGAATTTTTAACAAATTGCCTTGAAAATTAAAGAATTCTCAGAGAATTTTTTTTGAGTTTGTAGACAACTCTTGAGAGAGAAATCTTCTGGTTTTCGCCTCGATAAGCGATCTATATTTCACATGTTAAAGCACGAGTACATTTTAAATCTCTTTTATCGTCCGCTTTTTATAAAACACTTTCGCCTTATGAGAAAAACCGCCATAGTATTACCATAAACATTTTAGAACCTAATATCCTCTGACGATTTTTTTTTATTTTTATTCGTTCGCATTCTTGATTATAACTCGCGCAGGATGACGAAGTATCGAGTGTGCTAAATGAAGTGAGCGTCGACATCGTCGATCGGTATGGCTGATTGGTACGCTTAATTAGTACGAAACTTTCCGATCGATTAGCTGAGTATTCCTCGATATTCCATAGTTCTGCGCTCTCTTCAAAGCGACCCGTGCGTATGAATAAATAACGGGAGTGTTGTATCAATAAAGCGAGCATTATATCGCATTGTTAATACATTGTTAACTGTGATTCATTTACGTTTCTCGATTGCTTCGTATCTGTGCCTGCGAATGTAGCTGAGAAAAGTTGTAACTACAGAACTTATTGATTCTTTTCATTTTTTTTTTTTTATTATTTTCAATACGCAAAAAATTCTTTACTTTGGCTACTTATCTGTTACAATTATGTAACAAAGTAAAGTTTATTTAACAATGATGATGACCCTATTATCAAATCATATGTCTGTGTTTCTCAATATTTTCTTACATTCGCTGATTCACAAATTGGTAATTTACGAATTTATTGCAAATTTTTAATTGTGAGTTCTTTTACGCCCGTCGATATTATTTTTAACAAATTTTGTATTGGTCTCATCACAATTTCCCTATAAAAATATATTGTTACATCTGATGGATCAAAAATACAATTCAATCATTTCAATATTTCATGAAAGGATATAATCCCTGATTTTTAGTTTTAGATATTGATATATATCTTCTTTCCCGAGTTTTCGCAATTCAGGACTAAATTTGTTTTAAAGAGAACTTTTATAATGATTTAAAATCTGTAACGATATGAAATAATATATAAAAATTTATCAAAAGTGATTGATTGTAATTTATAAATTTTCAAGAATCTCTAAAAACAATGTAAAACACACAACGCTTATTTAAATTGTCTTAACTTACAATTAGATAGGCAAAAAATAAATTATAGAATAATAATAATAAATTTAGTTTATGATAATAATAAACTAAATAATAATAAACTAATAATAATAATGATGATAATAATAATAATAATAATAATAATAATTTTTCTTTTTATTACTGTGTTATAAAATTATTTATTTTATTGTTTACTTTTTATTTTAATTACTTCTATTTTATATAGTTTACAAAAATACTGTAAAGTTATTCGAAAGTATATAGAAGAAGTGAACTATTCACTAATGTAAGTTAATACAAATTTAAATGCTTTTAATCTTTATTATATTAAAAGATTTATGTACTTTAATATTTATTAAATATTATTGTAGATTATTGTATTTTAAAATTTAACATTTAACATTTAACATTTAAATTTAACATTTAAATTCAGTTTGTTCACTTGAAAACAATGTCAAAGTTAAAGAAGGTAACTTGAAAATTGGCGTCAGATGCAGCGATAGCGGGGATAAATTCAGATAACAAGGGAGAAGTGAAATGAGTCCTTGGCCGTTTACTCTGCACAAAGTTTGGTGAAGAAAATCGGGTTTATTTTGCATAAAGTTCCAGCCCGCACGTCATTTGCACTAGTGTAGTTATAACGGACATCCGAAGTTATGGTGCATAATAGTTATAATGGCTATTTGAAGCGAGCGTGAACTTTGTATTATAAACGATATATTTGTCATTTTACATTTATTAAGTACATTCATTAAGTGATGCATGCTTTGCATTGTTCGCGATACTATTAAAACATATGTACGTACTTCACTCGAGTCCATTTTATCAAAGCTTTGAGTATACTAAAATGTCAATATTAATAAATTTACAAATAAATTTAATTTTATTAATTATCGTTACTCGTTAAATATGTACACCGAAATAAACTGTAATTATTTTTTATAAATATTTAAATGCATTTTGTGTAAAATTATATATGTATATGAAATCTTTTATGCAAAGATACATTCAAATATTTAAAAAAATTATTACAATTTATTCGTTACAGCATCTTCAGAATATTATTATTAAAGCAAATTTTCGAGCACTTTGATTAAATTGACATTAATTAAGTCTTTGAGATGAAATAAAGTCTTTAATTTTGTCTCGTTTAAAAATTGTCCAATCATATATTAACAAAATAAACATGTTAACGATGAAATAAATGTATTAAAGACTTTTTGAGGAGAGAAAGAAAGAGAGAGAGAAGAAAGAAG